TATTATAATATAATAATTAATAATAAAAAGTAAAAATTATATAAATTAATAAAATTATTATTAAATATTATATAAAACTAGCTAAACTTAATATAGTATTAATAAAAGTAAAAGAATAAGCTAAAGTTAATAAAAATAAACCTTTAACTAAAATACTATAATAATATTAAAAGTATAAGAAATTATATTAGCAAGTACTTAAAGAAAGACTATTACTTTATTTAAAATAAAATTATAAGATTATACTTAAGGATAAAGCCTTATTAAAACTTTATAAAATCTATAATCTTAATAAAACTAAGCTTAAAATACTTAAAGAATAGCTATAGATATAATTAAATAAAAGATATATTAAGGTATTAAACTCTTTAGCAAGGTATTTTATTATTTTTATATTAAAAAAAAATAAAAAGCTTTATTTAGTTATTAATTATTAATAGCTTAATAAAATAACTATTAAAGATAAAATGCCTTTATTATTAATTATTAAAATTAAAGAAAGATTATAAGGTATAAATTAATTTATAGCCCTGGATCTTATAAAAGCCTATAAACTTATAAAAATAAAAGAAAAATATAAATAAATAACTATCTTTAAAATAAAATATAGATTATTTAAATATTTAATTATACTATAAGGATTTATAAATATACTAGTATTATTTTAAAAGAGAATTAACTTTATTTTTAAAGAATACTTAAATAACTTTATAATAGCTTATATTAATAATATTTTAATTTTTTTAAAGATATTAAAAGAATATAAGGAATATATTTATAAGATATTATAAAAACTATAAGATGCTAAGCTCTTTATTAATCTAAATAAATGCTAATTTTATATATAATAAGTTAAGTTCTTTAAATATATTATTACACTAGGGGAAGTTTAAATAAACCTAGATAAAGTTACTGCTATTTAAGATTAAGAACTCCTAAAAACCTATAAAGGATTATAAAGTTTTTTAAGATTTATTAATTATTATTAAAGATTTATCTAAGGATATAGTAAAATTATAAAACTACTAATTAATACTATTTAACTTAAAGAAGATAAAAAGAATAAAAAAAAATAAAAAAATAGAAAACTATTTTAGATTAATAAAATAAAATTAGTATTTTAAAAGCTTAAGGATGCTGTTATAAGTAAACTAATACTTACTATATATAACCTAAATAAGCCTGTTAAAATAAAAACAGATGCTTTTAACTTTACTTTAGGAAAAACCTTAGGATAATAAAATAAAGAAAGAAGACTTAAGCTAGTAGCTTTTTTTTTTAAAAAACTATATAGTCTAGAATTAAAATATTTTATTTATAATAAAGAATTTTTAATAATTATTAAAGTATTTAAAAAATAGCAATACTATTGCCTAAGAAATAAATATAGGATTAAAGTCTATATTAATTACTAAAATATATTTTACTTTATAACTATATAATAACTCTTAGTATAATAAATTTATTATTTTAAATTTTTAATAGACTTTAATTATAAGATTATTTACTATAAAGGAATAAAGAATAGAAGAGCTAATGCTTTAAGTTAAAAAAAAGAATATTTTAAAGAAATTCTTAAATTTAAAGTATAAATCCTATATAGAAATAATTAAGGGAATTATAAATAAATTAAAATTAATACTTTATTTATTATAGAAGAATATAACCCTATCTTTAATAAAATTAAGGATTAAGTTAAAGACTGGCAACTAGAATAATTCCTTAAGAAAGTAACTATAATTAATAGACTCCTAAGATAGAGAGAATAAATTTAGGTACTAGAGAAATTATAAATAAAAGTAATTTAAAATATTTATTGTAGTATAATTGCAGTAGTATATTAAGGTATATAAACTACCTATAATTATATATTATACTATTACTGCTTTAAAGGATTTAAATAAAAAGTTAAAGAGGTTATTAAAAAATGCAATATATATAAGAAAATAAAGAATAAATAACATCAGCTATATAAAAAATTATAACCTATCCTAGTTCTTAAATAAAATTAGTATACTATTATATTTAACTATATTATTAATTTACTAGGGTTAAAGGAACTATTAATTAATATAGTTTATAATAGCATCTTTATAGTAATAAATAAGCTTTTTAAGCAAGCTTACTTTTTACTATATAAGAAGTTTTATATTATAAAAGATTTAGTATATTTTTATATAAAATATATATTTATAAAATATAAACTACTAGTAGAAATTATATTAAATAAAGAAAATACCTTTACTTTTAAATTCTAATAAAAACTAATAGCTAAACTTAGAATTTATTATAAATTAAATACTATATACTATCTATAAATAAATAGCTAAATAAAAAGAATAAATTAAGTTATTAAAGTATACTTATAATATTATATTAACCTTATATAAGATAATTAAGTAAAAAAACTCCCTGCAGTATAAAATTAATATAATAGTTTTATTTTAAAATTTACAAAAGTTACTTTATTCTACGCTAACTATAGATTTACATTAGAAGCCTATAGACTACCTTATAATAGTCTAAATATAGAAAATGCTTAAATTTTAGCTAAAGATATAATTTAATTATAAAAAGAACTTAAAGAATAACTTAAGTTTATTTAAGATTGTATAAAGCAATAAGTAAACTATATAAAGATTAAAAGACTAACCCTTTAGAAGGGAGACATAGCTTATTTACTATAGCATTTATATAATAAGAAGTTGCTAAATATTAAAATAAATTAACTAAGTAATAAACTGAATTTTAAAAAACTTAAATTATTTAAAATTTTAAAGAAAATTAAAGAAGTTAACTATAAACTAAACCTACTTAATAATATAAAATTAAAAACAGCTGTTTTTTACATTTTACTACTAGAAAAGGCATTAGTAGATAAAAAAACAGGTAAATTAATTATAAATAAAATTATTATTTAAAATAAAGAAAAAAAATATAAAATTAAAAAATTAACTTATATATAAATAAATAAAAAAACAGGCAAATAAGAATACCTTATAAAATAAAAAGGATATAATTTATTTAAAGATATATAAATCTTTAAAAAAGAACTTAAAAGGAATGCTTAAGCAATTCTATAGAAATACTATTAGTCTTTAAGGATAGAAATAACAACAGGTCTAGGTTAAATGCAGACTAATTAATATTATTAACGGCAAGGGATGGGCCAGCAGTAGAGTTAAGCCCTAATGCTGTAGCCTAATAAGCAGCTGCCTCTGCCTCCTTATATTCTACCTTTTCCAGTTCCTTTAAATTATTAATTCCTTATACAACAGCATGCATTATCTTTTCTAGCTATAATTATTTTTATTTTTAAAGACATTTAATTTTAGCATTAACAATCTTACGCTGCTCCTCAGCCTCTTTTAAAGCATCCTTAAGCTAAGCATAAAAAAAAGCAATCTTTTATATCTATGCAGAAGATAAAAGACAAGCATTATATAAAAACTTATTATCCCTTATATATTTAATATATTAAATAAAATCTTCTTTAAATATTTAACACTTTAAAAAGTAGTGTTTTTTTTTATTTAAATAATAAATACAGTCCTTTATTTTAATAAAATAAAATAAAATAACCTTAAGAAGAATGTTTTAATACTCTATCTTTAAGTAAGATTTCTTGTAAATACCTATTATAATTATTAATTAAAGAACTAAGAATTATTAAAAAAAGAAAACTAATACAGCAAAAGGAAGAAGGTAAATACTTATATTTAATTAAGCAAGGTCTTGAGATAAGACCAACAGAAGGAGAGTATTATATTATAACCCAACTTTTATAATTATAATAATAGGCCTATAGAATAGGCGCAGCTGGATTAACTATAATCTAATAAACTAATTAAAAATAGATCGAGAACTTATTTATTAATTTAGCTTAAGATTAATAAGTATTATATTAATCCCTAAAAGAATTAATAGTTATCCTTTTAATTTTATTTAAATTAACTAAATATATAAGTTTACTTCTTATGCTTATTTAAATAACTTAAATAGCCAGTTATTAATATAGTTTTATATTTATAAATTAAAAAGCACTTTTAATCTCTACTGATAACTATTATTGTAATATTATTGCCCATAGGTTTCTTAACCTATCTGCTAACATAAACCTGAAGAACTTATTCTAGGTTTATCCCTTAGGAATCTACCCTATACTAACTATCTAGTGTACGGTTCATTATATATTCTTTAAGAATAAAGTTAATTTTTTTTTAAAATAATGCTAGTGTATTTATAAGTCCTTGTAGTATAATTAAATATTTAAATAGTCTATATTTTATTTTAAAGGCAGTTATTTATTTATATTCTTCTTTTATTTTTATAAGTTTATAGGCTTTTATAAGGTCTAGGGCTATAAACTAGTTTATGCTTTATAATCTTTCTTTAATTTTAATAATTAATAATAAAAGCATTCTATCTTTAATAGTTATATTATTAAGCTATTTATAGTTAATAATTAAATAAAGTTTTTTATTTTTCTTTAGTATAAAGATAATAAAGTATTTTACTAAAGAGTTTAATACTTTAATATATTCTTTATTTAATTATATTTATAGCTATTCCTTAAGCATTTTAAGTTTAGTTTTATTAAAATTATAGATTTTATAAAGCTTTAGTAAAGTTTTATCTTTAAAAATAATCTTATAATTTTATTTTAAGTAAGGTAATAGTTTTTCTTTAAGTATTTACTAATATAATTTTTTATACTTTTAATATTATTATAATATTTTAGCTAAAGGTTTATTTTTATTAGCTTTAGCTTATTCTTTTACTTTTACTAGTATTATATTAAATTTAGCTAGTTTTATATAATATTTAATAATAATTTTATTAATTTATATAGTTTTTGCTTTTTATTAATAATTATTATATTATAATAATATTAGTAATTTTTTAAGGTTAAATTTAACTTTTTTATATATTTTTATTTTTTTAGC